CCAAAGAGGCAGCCTTCTAAAGTGCGCTCGCCTTACAAGGAGCAGGCACACAGTGCGTGCCCAGGTGGCTGTCCTGGGCGGTGACAGTAAACTCCCTGGTCCCAGGTCCTGGCGGGAGCCCCTCTCCCCACAGAGGCCAGGTCTGGCCAGGACAGGACGGGAAGCTCCGAAACTCAGACGGGAAGCTTCAAGGTGGGGTGTTGAACACGTGGGTTCCTTTCATCCCTCGTGAGACCCCCGCGAGAATAAGAGCAAAGGAACAGAGGTTCTGCGCTCGTGAAGACGATGGGATGGACAGGGGATGAGAGGGGGTGAAAGATGCCACCCCGTTGGTGGCAGGGGCAGCGCCGCTGGAGAGGAGGGCAGGGCAGAGGACCCGACCACCGCACACGGGCGGAGACATGCCACTGAGCTGTCACAGCTGCGGTCCTACTCCACAGGGGGATCGGAGGAGCTGCGACCCACGGACACCAGGCACAGCGAGGCAGGAGCAGTTCAATGAGTCCAAGTACGGACTGTGAAGAGACTGCCCGCTCAGGTCAGGACGCGAGCACGCGGGCGTGCGTTAGGATCTCCGGGTGCGGCCGTACAGTCTGAGCACTGCACAAAGGCGCTTGGCTGAGGGAACGACTGGGCCGTACAAATCTAGTCCTTGCTCTGCTCCTAAAGCCCTGCCCTCGCTCAGGTCTACATCTCGTTAGAGAAAGGGGCCAAAGATGCCATCTGCCAGCCAGGCCAAGTGCCTATGGGTGGCTTCTGCCCAGCGGAGGCATCTTTCTTGAAGCCGTTCACCCGGAGGGAATGCCTTTTTTAGAAACTGTAAGAGGACACTTCATAGCAGCTCTAGTATGTTCCTCTTTCCCAGGCAGGAGAGAAGTGAAAATATCTGTAAAGGAACAATTAGCCCCAGAGAAAAGACCTACAGTCGATATGGGGGCCTTCTCATGAAGACGTCAGGTGCCAACTGGGTGGCCCTACAGAAAAGCCCGCCGGTTGACAAAGGTCTTCCAGCCTGTTTTCGGATGTGTCACTCTCCAGTACGAATGGATCCACAGAACCACCAGATATTTGAAGAAAGCCCGTGATGTGACAGACGGAGCCCGAGACTAACCAAGAGAAAGGGGACTTCGAGAAAACAGAGCCAATACAGGGAGCAGGAAAGAACCTCCCCAGACCCGCTATCATGAACATCCCCAGACGGCGAAGATCTGCAGCCACGAATCAAGAACAGGACACTATAAAACAGAAACAAGAGAACAGCAACAAAATGTTCTGGAAATTAAGCATTCACCATTCATCAGGCGTGTGAGAAGATGAGCTGAGTACCTTGCCCTGAAGCCAGATCCCCCCAAATAAAAAGACTACAAGTGGAAAAGAAAAAAAAAATATTAAAGGATTATGGCGCAGAAGGTCCCACGTTGGAATAACAGGTGGTCCAGAAAGAAAGGATGTGAACCACTATGAGAAGATTTAAGAAACTTCCCAAGAGAACCCAGCATGAGGTTCACACTATAGAGGACACACCACCATCAGGACAGCTCGGAACACTAAGAAAGAAGGAAACTTGAATGCTTCCTGGGACGTGGGGAGAAGCCCAAGTCGCACGTAGAGGCTTGGGCATCCAGATGGGGCCAGAAATGACAACCACTGCCCTGAGGGAGGCAGGTAAGAGAGAGTTATTCTCCACCAGAAATCCTGCACCCAGTTATACTTGGGTACAGGCAGAATCAAGACGTGTTAAGGTATGCACAACCTCAAGGTAGTTAAATGTTGACTTCCCAGGTTACATTTCTCAGGAAGTTACTAAAGAATGTGCCACACCAGGGGCGCCTGGGTGGCGCAGTCGGTTAAGCGTCCGACTTCAACCAGGTCACGATCTCACGGTCCGTGAGTTCGAGCCCCGCGTCGGGCTCTGGGCTGATGGCTCAGAGCCTGGAGCCTGTTTCCGATTCTGTGTCTCCCTCTCTCTCTGCCCCTCGCCCATTCATGCTCTGTCTCTCTCTGTCCCCAAAATAAATAAACGTTGAAAAAAAAAAATAAAAAAAAAAAAAAAAAAAAAAAGAATGTGCCACACCCAAAGCAACACACAAGCAAACACAAAGACACACAAAAAGATGATCAAACCTGGGGGAGAATTTGGGCAAGAAAGGCCGTGTACCCACAGTTATGCACCACCTGGCCCAGGAGCAAACGGTCTTTATGCACCTACGCTGGCTAAAAAACTATGGATATGTATTACTCGGGTAAGAATTAAAAATTGACTCTTAGGGGGCGCCTGGGTGGCGCAGTCGGTTAAGCGTCCGACTTCAGCCAGGTCACGATCTCGCGCTCCGTGAGTTCGAGCCCCGTGTCAGGCTCGCGTCAGGCTCTGGGCTGATGGCTCAGAGCCTGGAGCCTGTTTCCGATTCTGTGTCTCCCTCTCTCGCTGCCCCTCCCCCGTTCATGCTCTGTCTCTCTCTGTCCCAAAAATAAATAAAAAACGTTGAAAAAAAAATTAAAAAAAAAAAATTGACTCTTAGAAAAGAAAAGCCATGGGTGGTTTGTCTTGCGGGCTTCGGTATTCACCTTTTATATCCAACTTTCTCTTCCGTATAAGCCTATACTCAAATGGAGAATTTTTTTTTTTTTTTTTTTGCCTTTAAAGAAAAAAATCTGTTTACAGCCAACCTGAATCAAACGATTTTTAGGCATCTCACCAGTGGGTGGTTTAAAAAAGAATGTTTTTTTAATGTTTTTATTTTTGAGACAGAGAGAGAGCACGAGCAAGGGAGGGGCAGAGAGAGAGGGAGACACGGAATCCGAAGCCGGCTCCGGGCTCCGAGCTGTCAGCACAGAGCCCGACGCGGGGCTTGAACCACGAACGGTGACATCATGACCCGAGCCGAAGTCGGACGCTCGACCGACTGAGCCACCCAGGCACCCCATCCCCAGTGGGTGGTTTTGAACAATATTACACGTTGTAATGGGTGAGAGAAGAAGCCTGCGGAGATTTTTTTTTTTTTTTTTCTGAACGAGGTCTAGACCCGTAAGATTCATGTTTGGATGGGCTCCTCCCCGGCTTTTCCAGCATCTAGTTTAGGCAAGGACCGCGTGGCGTCCAGGGTTATAAAACACCACACACGTATTCTTTACTATCTGTATCCTAGCTTTCAGAGATGCCAAAGAGCTCGTTAATTAGCTCATTTTCCATGGCACATTTGGCCTTCACGATGGCACCACTCCAAGCTCCCGGCAGCTTTCAGCTCGGAAGGCTCGGATTCGTTCTAAGAACTAAGGAGGAGACGAGGCAGGCTGTCACCGGAATGGGATCTTGGAATGTCATTGACTGAAACGTGCTCTGTAAATCCTCTCGGCCGCGCTGGGATTCTGTTAACTTGAAACCCATTCCCTGAAGTGAGCAAGCCTCTGGGCTTGCCAAGAGAGAACCGTGATCTCTGCAGGAGGAACAAGGGCTGGCTTGTCACCTATCAAGCTATCCGAGCTATCAAGGGCACTCCAGAAGTCACAGGGGACGAGCGCGAAAGTGAACGCAGCTTCCTCCCGGGAAAACCACGAGAACAAGGCAAAGGTTGTGGCTGGCCCCACATTTTGGTTTTGTCTAAACGAGGACCTTTTTATCTAATCATGTCAGCTTCTTTCCGGGATACTCCTGGGCCAGATACAAGGTTTGTCAAAGAGGGGACAGCTCTGGACCCGGCATCAGGGGGCACGAGTGTGCTTACAAGTCTGCTCCCGGCTGCTGTGTGACCTCGGTCCACCCGCTCTGCCTCTCTGGGTTCAGCAGACAACAGGCTGTCTGAGGGCTTCTCCTGACCTAAGAGTCTGTGATTTTTATGAGTCCCGCTTGGAGAGGGGAGGACCACGGGGCGGGGGAGGACGCAAAACCGAGTCACCGGGACCTACATCTTGGCAGGAAATGGGGGTGGAGGGTGGTGCAGGGCTGGAGGAAGACGGGAGGGTGGGGGGAGGTCTCCTCACAAACTGCCTGTTCCGGTCTACTTGTTGGGGTACCTTCCGGAAAGTCTTTTCGAGAATCCCGTTATGACCGACCGGTAAGGATGCCTGTGCCGAGACTGGTGTGCACAAGGGGCAGGAGCCTGCCGGACCCCTTGTAGCTCTGACATCAGCCGGGACTGATTCTGAGCCCAGCCGTTCCTGCACTCCTCCCGGGGCTTTTAAAGAGCTCTCTGCAGTGCCCTGTGGGGCCTTGGAGATCGGCCCGGAGGCCTCAGGAGCTGTCGTGGATGCTGGGGATGCTGCCCAGGCAAAGCGGGAGGGATCCCAGGCCCGGCCCTGTGTCGGCTGAGCTCGGCTTTTAATGTACCAGCTAGACTCTCCCCTGCTAGGAATTCATCTGAAAGAGGGTGCCGTTGGCGGAAACTCTTTGAAAATCACAGCTTTAACCTTAATTCAATCAATACAAAACTGAATTTACATCTCTGTCCCCCCCGGCCAAAAAAAAAAAAAGACCAGCCTACCACCAGCCCTCACTCTCCTCCTTGGGTTTGCCGCTCCCAGATGGATGGTCCCGGAGACGGCCAGACCCCGACAGGTGCACGGACACCCAGCACCTTCACTCGAAGCCCACCTCTGGGAGGAACACGGGGCAGTTTTCCTCCCAATGGAGGCTCTGCGCGTGGGGCACCCCGCCCCCCCCCCGCCGCCTCCCATCAGGACGACCCTCCTCTCAGAGGCAAGTAACTCAAAGCCATCCCAGGCCTTAAAAACCTGCACGCAGGACGAGCTATGACCCGGGCTATGGCTAAATATTAGCAAGGACGCTTCATACCTGCCAAAGCAGGGCACGCAGGAACACGCTCCGCTTAGGGACTCCAGCCAGACAGACGCCTGAGTTGTGAGGACACGGCGGACGAGAAAAGCGTGCTTAGGACTTGCAGGAGAGAAGGGAACCCATGGAGACAGCAGGGAGAGGGACGCTGTTTCCTTGGAGGCCCTCGGCTGTCTGCAGAGTGGCCCATCCAAACCCCAATAAAAGGGAAGTGACAAGACTCCTGCCCCCCGCTCAGGAGCCTTTTTTTATTATGCAGACACACGCATCAGAGTCTGGTGACGTCCAGCTGTGGGAACAGCAGTAGGCAGTAAACCAGGAGCCAGAGGAAGAGAATAAAATACATCATATCCGGCTGCTGGACAAACTGGGTCAGAGAGTCGCTCTGTGAGCTCTGGCTCTCCTGGAACACGGCTTCGCCAGAGTTGTTGGCCTTCCTGCAGAAGGGAAGACACAGGCAAGGCAGTCACAAGCGGGTCCCCGGGGGGATGGGCCTCCCCTGCCTCCCCAGCCTGCAACCTCACTGCCCAACCGGAGAGTGGAGGGCGTCCCAGTGGGCCAGTCAAGTGGCCCCGAGGGGCGCGTGCAGAGACCCAAGAGGTGGCGCTTTCACGGGGCCTCCGTTCATGTGCACGACCCTAAGGGGGTAAAGCGGTCGGCCCCATTGCGAAGGCGGGCAGGTTAAGACTCAGGGGGCTCGGGGGCTTGCTCGGGGCCACACAAATACCACTCCCCCGTCCGGGACACCTTCCTTTATACCACAGTGCCCTTAACGCAAAGCTGGGGGCTGATGGCACTGCGCCATTAGTGTGTGACAGAGGGGATGTCTTTCGTAATCTAAAGGAATAAATAGAGTTCCCTGATTATAGATCATTTAAAAACAGCCTTCAGAAACAAAGGCACGCCCTCCCCCCTTCTCTCCCCCCCCCCCCCCGGCCCCAACCAAGTTTTTGATTTTGGCTTTGGAGCAGAACCTCCAAAATAATCTCTAGATTTGCGTCTGGTCAGACTTGTCTTCCCTCTTTTCATTTACAGAAGGTGGGGTGAAAGTGACATTTTGCTTTTCCCTGGCGGCTAAAGCCCAGTTCTCCCTAAGGCAAGGGCCGGGGCCATCATGCGGTTGGAAAGGGGTTGGGGGTCTCCGCTTATAGAAGCCTAGAGCGTAAGCTTCTTAGGGTGGTCATTTGGGGCGTGCGGTGGAGACTATAAGCCGTGGAAACCAGCTCCTCCCGGAACGATCTCCTGATACAGAAAAGCGAGGCCAACAGTGGGTTAAACGTTTGCCTTTTGGCCTCGAAACGGATTCACTCGTGACAATGGACAACGGACAGAATTTCTCTTTCTTAGAACCGTTTCTAGAAAAAAATTTGAACTCCATTTTTCATTACAAAGGTAAGACTCAACGCTCCAGAAACACGGAAAGCATGACTGCATTTCTCAACCCTCTAGTTTAAATTTTCCAGGTCTCTATCTCCTAAAAGCGAAACGCACTCCGCTCCTCGGAGTACGTCATGCCTGGCGGGACGTGAGTTAAAATTCCCATCTTACGGCAGGGGAGGGAAACATGTCTTGCCTCTTTTTTAAAAGCCAGACGGGGTTAGCTTCTGAGGATTACACTCGTGGGTGTTGGATTCAGAGAGGCTTTCCATTTCAATAATCTAAGGCCTTCCCCGCCCATTGAAATCCGTGGCAAGTATTTAAAAAAAAGCAAATCAATGAAATTAAGTGATTCGATATCTTTAAGAGGGATAGGAGCATCTCAGAATTGTCAGAGTTTTCGAGATTGCTTGGGTTTCCTAGGTCCTAAGTGGGCGGTTTTATGCCAATTCGGCAATATCGGACAAGGCCAGCTAGTTCTCGAACAGCAAGAAATACTTTCATAGACATCCTGGTATGTTTGCATTCCTTCTTCATGTCTGCTCTGATGCCATAAAACTGTAATATCAGCTCAGTGAGCTTCTGAGTATTGTACCTGCAGGGGCGACACAGAAGGAACAGGTGGTCAGGCGCTACACATGGGGAACACACCCAGCATCACATCACTACTGCCTGGCTCTACCCCCGCATCTACGCAGCTGCGGGGCTCGTGACCCACACCCGGCTTTACACGGAAGCCCGTTTTCTGAGCCATTCCCCGCCCATCGACGTTCATCCGTTCCCACCTGCCCTCCTACGTATGTTCGGTTTACATTCACTTGCTCTGCAGCAGGTGGCTTCCTGCATGACCTCCGACTACGACTATCGCCATCAACAAAGCCTAGTCGTAGCCACGCCCCCAAGGGAGGCTGCACAATTAAATCAGGAAAGGAAAAAAAATCTTAAACCCCGGAAAACTCGGACTGAAGCCACCAACCTGGTTAACATTCGGTTTCTTCTGTCATCCTGATCTGCCGCGTTCCTCAACTGAACATAGCTAAAGTGGTCCTACAGTGAAATTTATAAACAAAACCCCCGCAACCCAATTAGTAAAGATGAAATCTCTGAAACAGAAAATAAAACGATTTTAAACATACAAAGCCGAGCATGCCACGCTTTTTCTCAATATCGCAAGCATTTAAGTTCCAAAATCAAACTGCTAACTGATATTCTACTGGTGTTCTACCCTCTCCCCCAGCCCCCGGCTGGTGCCCCACCGCCCACAACCCGAATCGGGCTGCGGCACCCCCCCCCCCCCCGTGCTTTGGGCCCCAACACATCGAGGGCTAAGTAGCTGCAAAGGTAGACTGGAACCTCCGCCTACATTGCGCTCTGTCTCTGAGGGTGGTCTTTCTGGGGGCGTGTGCGGGGCTGGGTGGCAGGTCTTGGATGCGTTTTTTACAACAAAGAGGACTTCGAGGTTTATAGTCAGCACTTTATTTACATCCCCTAGAACCCCAGTTGGACATCCGGTGGGACTGTGCTCAACGACAAGGTGTGAATTTGCTTGTCTTCTATCCAAAAGTACGTTTGTTGCACATCAGTAATTTCAAAGCTCTGGGCCGGGAGGAGGAAGGACGGGAAGGGATTGGTTTAGCAGGGGCCACGCAGAAGAAGAAGAAATTCCCATACTAACCGATTCCAAAGACCTGTTAGTATGTCGTCGAATGTAAATGCTGGAGTCACTGTGACTAGTCCTGAAAAATAAACACACGTTTTGAATTGGTGCCACCGGGAGCTCTTCGGGTCCCCCTGTACGGCCACCCCCGCCCCAAGTCTTCCACACGTGGGTTTAGGCCAGCTATGACTTCAGGCCCAGCCACGGAAAGGAGCAACTGTATCCAACACGCCCACTCGGGTTGGAGTGTGCTTACAAACAGTAGGATGGATAAGAGAGAGACACATTGTGGCCTCATCCACAAGAAAAAAAAAAAAAAAAAAAAAGCAACTGAGAATTTTAAATAGAAAGCAGACCACGTATTTTTAAAAGTCATGGGGGGGGGCGCCTGGGTGGCGCAGTCGGTTAAGCGTCCGACTTCAGCCAGGTCA